CCCACTAAAACCCCTCGGTGATGCCCACCCTCGGCGGCATGACGGGCTATGGGTTCGTGCGATATTCGGCGCCACGGCCCGCCAAAATGCCACCATGCGACAAAAGCGTCGCCCTTCTCGTGGGAAGGAGAAGCCTCCCCACAACGATACTAAGTCCCACCCCACCCTTATCGGAGCCGACGACGTCATCACGCCCGCCGTCGTCTCCACACACCTGACCGCGTGCAATGGTGCCATGGGCCCCCGCCCATGACACCTGCGGCCATGGCGGCCTCGGTCAATCCCGGGAACTCCGACACCCCGGACCGAGTACCGCCGACACTCGCACAAGGGTATTCAATTTTTACCTTTTAACTATTGGGTTGGGTACACTGATAGCTTATGACTTCAGTTCCAAAAGGTACAGTTGTCCAGTTCATCTACCTGCATTGGTATTTCAGTAGGAAATTGACTTTCGTTCGAGCAATACTTAGTGCGCAAATCCAGTAAAAATAGACTTCATTAGAAAGTTTGTAACTCAGTCCCCAGTGCATCAATTTTGATTCTGTAAAATGGAAAGTTTATGAGTTAGACGGAGTTGGACTAAAAAACCAATTGTAGTATTTAGTTAAGACTATAATGCATCAGAATTAACAAAAAAATGCTGCCCATATCTGCCCCTTGAGTCTTAATGGACGTTTGAAAATGTAAATACTTGTGTTTGCCGCTGATTTATGCGTGTTCGTCTCTCTCTTTCTCTCTTTCTCCCTGTCATACAATTAGTCATTCGCTCAGTAGAACAGTGGAAACGGTTGTGCCGCGAACGTACTGCGAAAATTCGAGAACGAAAACATAAACCGCCGTCGAGCAAATTCGTTGCCGGCGAGCGTGTCGTTCCGTTTATGGGTGCGAGTGCGAGAAAGAGTGTGAGAGAGAGAGAGAGAATGAGAAACGCGTCGAACGTTAAGAAACGATCGAGGCTTCGAATAACCGAAGATTCGCGAATCGTTCAAACGCCAAAATCGAGAATGTTCGATCGTCGCGTAAATATAAGGGTGTGTCCGCGGTGCGAGAGGCGCGCCACAGGATTATTATAAATATCGTTAAAAAAGTATAATATAAATCGGTCTATAGAATTTAACATTATAAACAAGTACGAATACGATTACGGTTACGATTACGATTACGATTACGATTACGATTACGATTACGATTACGATTACGATTACGATTACGATTACGATTACGATTACGATTACGATTACGATTACGATTACGATTACGATTACGATTACGATTACGATTACGATTACGATTACGATTACGATTACGATTACGATTACGATTACGATTACGATTACGATTACGATTACGATTACGATTACGATTACGATTACGATTACGATTACGATTACGATTACGATTACGATTACGATTACGATTACGATTACGATTACGATTACGATTACGATTACGATTACGATTACGATTACGATTACGATTACGATTACGATTACGATTACGATTACGATTACGATTACGATTACGATTACGATTACGATTACGATTACGATTACGATTACGATTACGATTACGATTACGATTACGATTACGATTACGATTACGATTACGATTACGATTACGATTACGATTACGATTACGATTACGATTACGATTACGATTACGATTACGATTACGATTACGATTACGATTACGATTACGATTACGATTACGATTACGATTACGATTACGATTACGATTACGATTACGATTACGATTACGATTACGATTACGATTACGATTACGATTACGATTACGATTACGATTACGATTACGATTACGATTACGATTACGATTACGATTACGATTACGATTACGATTACGATTACGATTACGATTACGATTACGATTACGATTACGATTACGATTACGATTACGATTACGATTACGATTACGATTACGATTACGATTACGATTACGATTACGATTACGATTACGATTACGATTACGATTACGATTACGATTACGATTACGATTACGATTACGATTACGATTACGATTACGATTACGATTACGATTACGATTACGATTACGATTACGATTACGATTACGATTACGATTACGATTACGATTACGATTACGATTACGATTACGATTACGATTACGATTACGATTACGATTACGATTACGATTACGATTACGATTACGATTACGATTACGATTACGATTACGATTACGATTACGATTACGATTACGATTACGATTACGATTACGATTACGATTACGATTACGATTACGATTACGATTACGATTACGATTACGATTACGATTACGATTACGATTACGATTACGATTACGATTACGATTACGATTACGATTACGATTACGATTACGATTACGATTACGATTACGATTACGATTACGATTACGATTACGATTACGATTACGATTACGATTACGATTACGATTACGATTACGATTACGATTACGATTACGATTACGATTACGATTACGATTACGATTACGATTACGATTACGATTACGATTACGATTACGATTACGATTACGATTACGATTACGATTACGATTACGATTACGATTACGATTACGATTACGATTACGATTACGATTACGATTACGATTACGATTACGATTACGATTACGATTACGATTACGATTACGATTACGATTACGATTACGATTACGATTACGATTACGATTACGATTACGATTACGATTACGATTACGATTACGATTACGATTACGATTACGATTACGATTACGATTACGATTACGATTACGATTACGATTACGATTACGATTACGATTACGTGTGCAACGCTGCGAATCATGTGCCGCTACAGTTACAAACATTAAATCATTCCTAGGATTAGCGGGATACTATCGGAAATTTATTCGCAACTTGTCCAAAATTGTCAAAGCCCTAATCGAACTGACAAAGAAAGAAATTTGTTTCCATTGGAGTAACGAATAACAAACTGCTTTCGACAATCTCAAAAACAAACTATGCAGCGCACCCGTACTCCAATACCCCGACTTTACGAAGCAATTTACTCTAACAACAGACGTCTAACGAAGAACTGGGAGCCATCCTTTCCCAAGGCGGATATCCCTGCTGTTACGTGTCCCGAATCCTCAACGCGGCTAAGAAAAATTATAGTACAACCGAAAAGGAGCTATTGGCTATCGTTTGGACTATCAAACGACCAAGGCAACACTTCCTTGGACGAAAGTTAATCATCCAGACCGACCATCAAGCACTCAAATGGTTTAAAGACGTTAGAGACCCATCTTCATGCCTTATGCGATGGACACTCGTCAGATTGGAAGAATACGATTACGACATCGAATACAGGAAAGGCAAAGAAAACCAAGCCGCCGACACACTGTCCCGACTCTACCACCCCCCCAAAACACAGAGCCAACAATCCCAAATGGATACAAATTGATAAGAAAACATTAGACGAATTTGACAAACGTAAATGGTTACGCGTATTAAACGAATTAGTGAGATTAGAGATCTTCAAATTTAACAGATCATTCAACTCGAAACGATCCACATCCAACTCATGCTACGGTTCTTAACTACAACGATTCCCAACACCACACTAACTTTCGCCAGCAAACCACCTCGATAATATGCCGAAGACAAAAAGAATTAAATCCTACACGAAAACCACAACGCCGACAGTACACAACACCCAGAAGAAAACAGAACATTAGCTAGAATTCAGGAAAAACACTATTGGCCCGGGTTAGAAAAAATGTCCAGGAATTCATCTCACAATGCCAAACATGCCGACAAGAAAAATTAACACGCATATGACCCCGTGAAGAAACTGTTCGTACAGATACACTATTAGAACCCAACGACAAAATTTCCCTCGACATATTCGGACCCCTACCCAAAACCAAAAATAGAAACCAGTACATCCTATCGACACAAGATCAATTGACCAAGTACCTCCTGCTTGTACCTCTCAAAGATCAACAAGCCATCATGATTATCCCTGCCTTTCTAAACCGCTACATATACATTTTCTCTTCCCCAAAACATATTCTAACTGATTAAAGAGCTAATTTTGTGTATAAACTCATGGAACATTTCGAATAAGCGTTTAAAATTAAGCATATCAAAATTACTTCGTTTCACCCGCAATCTAACGGAGCGCTAAAAAGAACACAGGTAACAGTGCTAGACTTGATCCGAAAATGTACATCTGACCGGCAAAACGAATGAGACGAAAACTTAAAAAATTAATTTGCATGGGATATAATATTTCAGTACACGAAGCAATAGACACAACACCTTTCAAAGGTGTTTGCCTCAGCTCCCTCCATGATTAAAGAACTTTTCAAAATTTGGAAAAATAGACACAACGAATACCTTAGAAAAGCAAGACAAACATTAGACAAGAACAAAACACGTTATAAACGCGACTAAAAGACCGGAAAATAATACGAACGCAATCGATATTTAACATTGGCAACAAGGTTTTAATACATAATGATCACAAATCTAACAAATTAGACAGAGAATGGCTAGGGCTAACGATGATAACAGAAACTTCCCCGCCCACATACTTAATAGAATACGACAACGGACGAACACAAAGAATACATGGTAACAGGCTAAAACCTTTTGTTAGAGGATGACTATAGCCATACTCATCGGTACCAATATGGCAAACTCTATAAGCTTAACGCCGCTAAGTTCATCAAGTATTTTTTCAGGAAGAATCGGAACTTGCTTTACGTATCGTAATAAAGTAAAAATTACAATAGTTATTGATCCAAAAGAGATCGTGATGCACGGCTCGGAAATTGACGATTTACTTTCTAAACTAGGGATGTATTGCGAAATCACATGTAACCTACACGCGGTTATAGAATCATTAGCACGAAAAAGCCAACAACTCGACAAAGCGATCAGACAATTAATTTATTCGATGCATATCAAAAACAAGCGCGGATTATTGAACTTTGTTGGGACAATATCTAAAACTTTATTCAGAACGTTGGACGATAGCGATTTCGCACTCATAAACCAAAACATAGACAAACTATTCGACGGTCAGAATAAATTTACATGTGTCATAGCCAATCAAATCAACATGATTCGAAATATTTTCGATAACACGCAAATAAAAGCACTTGTCGAATTGAAATCCGCACTTAAGAGAAACGCCTACACTACCAACAAACTGGTACACATAACCAGCGAACTTAAAATCATAGAATTCATTATTTCAGAAACTCTAGACTAAATTCGCGAAGGCAAACAAGGGAACGTCAACCCGCAATTCGTCAAACCAGAACAATTTCTATTGGAACTGTCCAAATAAAGAAAACCTCCTTTATTAGTCACACAAAGCCAAAAATAGAAAATTACCAACTTCTACTATATATCAGCACGTTAACCCTAGCAACCATAAACAACAAAATCATCTACCAAATTAGCGTACCTCTATTAGGAGAAGAAGAATAGGATATCTGTTACGCTAAAATATTTGAAACCCGCGCGCTTGGGCTAGCTGCTTCTGAGCTTCTTAGAACGAACGCATAGAAAAAATGTTAGCGCCACTTAATGGGCGATGCAACGCCAACTCATAAGAGAGGGGGAAAAGGGACTCAGGCTTAGCTACGCGAGATGCACGCGAGTCAGTTTTTTTGTGCGTTACTTCAGTGGTTCTTCTTGCCTTATTCAGTTCAATTCGATTCGGTGATATTTTTCAACGAAACCCAACATTGTCTAATTATCAAGTATGTGATTCGACATATTCCCGAGATATTTCAATAATAAAATTAGCGGTCGCAAGACCCGTAAAGGGGGTACGTCCAACGTACTCTCTTCAACTACACCCATGCGGTCATACTCATGACCCGTAGAGGGGTACGTCCATCGTACTCTCTCTAACTATACACACGCGGCCGCAAGGCCCGTAGAGGGGTGCGTCAATCGTGCTCTCTCCAACTACGTACGCAGTCATACTCATGATCCGTTTAGAGCAGTGCTCGGATTTAGTTGCACTTTTCGGGCCGATTTCGAGGTAGACGCCTACTGTGCCCTCACTCCCGCGCTAGACTGCCCACGTGACGTCGTGTGCTAGGGACGTCGTACGATAAATTTATCGGGATCCAGTCGTGATTAAAAATTTTGCTTGCACTGTTAATAATTATTATTTTTACAGATTATTAAAGTTATTAATACTATGTTTACATCTATAAACATCTTTTATATATACATATAATTACAATTTTGTCAATAGTTTTCCATATCACCCAAAAGGTACTACTGTTGATGCGTTGTTTTCAATTGGTTTTCCCTATAGGCCTATTCCACTAAGTAAGAAAAACGACAGTGACTCGGCAGGAAAGTCCAAACGACCCAGAAGATCGAAGGAAAATTAAAATATTTTCGATTTCGACTTTCCTGCTAAGTCACTGCGTTCTTCTTATTTAATGGAATAGGCCTACAGGGAAAACCAATTGAAAAAAACGCATCAACAGTAGTACCTCTTGGGTGATGTGGAAAACTATTGACAAAATTGTAATTATTATAACATGTATTATTGTTATTATATGTATATATAAAAGATGTTTATGGATGTAAACATAGTATTAATAACTTTAATAATCTGTAAAAATAATAATTATTAACAGTGCAAGCAAAATTTTTAATCACAGCTGGATCCCGACAAATCTATCGTACGACGTCCCTGGCACACGACGTCACGTGGGCAGTCTAGCGCGGGAGTCAGTCTAGCGCGGGAGTGAGGGCACGGTAGGAGTGTACCGCGAAATCGGCCCGAAAAGTGCAACTAAATCCGAGCACTGATTTAGAGCTTGCGCCTTGCGCAATCGCCCTAGCTACACGCACACATCTCATACTCACATAAACAGATTAAATACACGATTTTCACGAGATTTTTTGACCACAAGGTCTTTTTCCTCGGGGTTTACCCCCAAAATTATCGTTGTTTTTTTATTTACCAACACCTGTTCTTTTTCATGAACAACGTGGCTTAGATACGAGGTTTGAGTCTCGACGCCTCATCAATATCAACAAGATCTATCCAATCCCACATAAACAGCAGAACATCTTCGTAGCCCTAGTTATAGAACATAACATTATATTAGAATCCATGATACAATACGTCGCCATAGACTCATTGTCAAAATATTTAAGAGACAAGTGTAACATCCCTGAATAATTTTCAAACTTTTATTCCGGTGTTATTTCCCTAATTATCGACTGTATTTCTCTCTTACCGACCGTGGCATTAGACAGATCAATTATTATAAGAATTTAATTAAACTGTCGGTAATAAATGTGTATGTTGTCTATGGAAAATTCCATGACGCTACGTCCTACGTGCAACGCCGCCAGCCCCGAAAATTCTGGTATGAGCGTGCAAGTCCTAAAGGAGGATAGAGATATAATTTCTATTTACAACTATTTCTATTAGGTATAAAACTTATTAGTTAACTAAATCAATCAATACATATAAAGTTTACTAATATTATGCTATTCGTAACCAAAACCAAATATTATTTTCTTGAATTAAAATACTGCAAATCGCAATGTTATACTATGGAAAATTCTACGAGCATTGTATGCTTATACGTTTAGACCCGGTCCTTGTAGAACTCGTGCGCAATTTATAGAAAAGGACAGAAAATGTATTTTTCGTTAAAACACCATTAAATTACTATATTTTGTATCGAAACGTTAGCTATTAATCAAAATGCGATATTAACAATGTAATTAAATCATTCGCTTTAACAATTAGTGTCTAATTAAAGATTTATACAAAAATTGTATACTTCGACATTATGGTAGGATTCCAGAAATTTGGCAGGCCTCCAAGTATAAAAGGCCGAGCAAAACCCGCCTGGATAGCAGAACAGTCTTCGAAGTCGAGCAAACTAGAAGTCGTGAATATGTATAACCGAAACAATTTTCGCTGTTAAGAGCCGAAAAGATTCTTAGTTCTTGATTGAAAAGCGGGAATACGCCATTTGGATACTTGATCGCTGGGTTGTTATAGCAACTAGCGAATAGCAGGCTCCCCGTTCAAGCGGTCTTGTATCTGAAACTCCGTTAAGAGAGTGCTATGCTCAGCCCTAAGAAAGACTAAGACATCAAACCAAGAGCTCTCAGCTACTCATACATAATTGTTATCGAATTACTAACGTGTCTTCAGATTCTCGGAGCTCGCTCTGGGTAGTATTGTAGCTAGCGTACAGCAGGCTCCCCATCTGAGCGGCTTGTGTTTCTGAAGCCCGTGTTTTTTGGGTGACAGTTAAATAATTACGACTTACAATTACAGTCAATTTTGATTTGCTACCCTCCTGGACGTATATAGTTCATCTGGCTCTGGGTCGTTGGGTTGTTTTAGCAGCTAGCGAACAGCTGGCTCTCCAATTATGCGATCTGATTTTGGGTGTCAGTATGCGCTTTGACAAAAAGGGCCATGGACAATTAGTTGTCGAGTCAAATTAAAAAAGAGTAATTGTTCCGAGGAAAACTCATTACCTTTCAACAAATTTTAGAATTTGAATCAGTCAAAGGATATTGTTCTGTCACGAGCGTATTTTCCGTAATCGACTACACCGCGTTAGACGTGTAGATTAAATTATTAATCTAGCCTAACTTTGTAAAAACGTATTTACATACACTTAGAGAGAGAATCACACCTAGGTAGGATTCCTTGCAGCGGTAAACTATAAACGTGTTAATTTTGTTAATTTTGGAAAAGTGTAGTTAACTTTAAACGAGAATCAGACTTAGGTACGATTTGTCGTAAAGTATTAACCAGCGAATTTCATTTTGTTAGATTCATTTTACATTCTCTAATTATGCACTATTTCATTTTTGAGTTCCTGCTATTAAACAATCAAAGTTTATTTAGTTTCTTTTGATCTAGTCGATCATTTATAATATATATACTTTTCATTATTTTTGTTGTTATTGTTATTGTTATTTGTTAATTTCATTTTTCTTATCGTTTTATTGAATAAACCTTATTGTTGAAAGATATTGACCTGTGGATTTCACTCCTTAACCGCGCACCACACGAATCCCATATTCTTTAGATTTAGTTATTTGCAAAAACGAGTCGTTCAGTAGGTAAAAGCCGCTCTTTACCTCACGAGCTCTGTTAACATCTAAACCTAGGTTCCAGAGTCGTTACACAGTGTTACGCAGATAGGAAATGAAAATTCTCACTGTAAGAGAAATTAATGTATACAGTACACTATTCTCTTCATAAGGGACTATTGGATTATTTGTTTAATAAAAACCAATCCATGTGTAATAAAAGAAAGTTTTACAGCGTAAATAATTTATATCCACGTAAACAATTTGAGATATTTATATAGATTTTTCTTTAGCCTAGTTTTTTGTTACACCACTTCAGTGTTAATTTTATTAATTTAGATCTTCTACATACAGTAGAAATAATAAAGAAACGTTTTATATGATTAAATTAGTACGTAAAGAATTATTTCTTGAACCTATTTCCAATAGGGACCGTTTACATTATGCCAGTAAGCCATGCTAGTAACATGGGCTAGTAAATAGTCCATATTTTTGCATTTCTTATTTTGCCTGTACTAGATTTGTCGTTAAAAAGGGAGACAAGCAACGAAAGAAACCATTTTCTCTTTCTACCAGGCTTGATATAAGCAAGGTAAGAATCATAAAACTTATTGTTAGACTACTTACTAGCACACATTACTAGCACGGCTTTTTGGCATAATGTAAACGGTCCCTAAGTGTGATTTCGAATTTGAAGTTTCACATTTATAGAATAGGTACTATATTCTTTGTAATGAGCCGAATACAGAAAATCATGAGTAATGAGTAAAAAAAATAGAGTCTGAGATTTCAGACGATCAGCAAACATGAAAGGTCACGTTTGAGTACACTCTTTTAAATTCAAAAATTAAAATTCTTTATTTTTCGTTTTTCGTGAATAAAACTTGTACCATTGTGTTCATCTCGTTTTTCTGACTAAAATGATACTAAACACGATATAATTATGATTATAATTACTTGTGTAGCGAGCTCATATGAGGAATTCGTATTTCTGCCGTAAATGTAAAGTTCGTTGTAAATGTAAAAGTCCGCAACCTCTATAGTTTACTACACAAGTTATTATGATAGTAAATTTATCGTGTTTGGTGTCATTGTAATCAGAAAAACGAGGCTAACAAAATAGTAACAGTTTCGCGAAGAAATAATAAGAAATAAAAAAACTACAATGTTCTCTTTTGCTTGAATTAGTACGAGTCTCATCAATATCCGATTTTCGTCAGCTGAGTAAACGATTGCGTTTAAGGCTTGATTGATTTCGAAGGGGATCCAACCAGAAATAGTGGAGAAATTCTTGTTTTAATGGTACAGATTTTTTCACACTTATAGAGAGAATACTGTATACATATGTAAAATAAAATAATTTTAAGAAAAAAAATACACCGACTTCGAAATGCACTAAAAAGTATAAAATAATTTCTATTTCCTAATGAAGTAATTTCTATTTCATTCAATCATACAATTACGTAACAGATATGAATGAAACCTATTTACTCGTTAGGTATTATATTAAATACATTTCAACCTTTTCGGAGGCGGCGCAAAATTAAA